ATAATGCTGCGGTCGGCTCAGTGGTAGAGGATATTGACATAGCAAGAGAATTGAAATTTCCATTTCCCCCCGTCTGCACCGAAATAGAAGGAGTCGAAGTAGTAGAGATATGAATCTCGCTCTGAGCAATCGCTACAGGGGTACTAGAAGATCTTGTCGGGGTCGTACCTTTCGAGGCTGTGCTCGCTGAACTTGAAATCGTGCTTGTTTGCGCCTCGGACGTACTAGTATTAATAAAGGGAATTGTGGTGGAGGTGGCTGCGACAGCCGCTGAGGTAGTTGTAAGAGGAGGAGTGCTTGCTACTGATACAATCGAGGAAGACAAACTAGAGGATATTGAAGGGGTAGCAACTATGGCTGTAGAGGATGGTGGTGCTACAACGGCCACACTGCTGCTTGCGATAGAAGTCGTGCTCTGAACAATTGGTGCTGAAGAAGTTTGAATCTGGACACTCGCTGCGGTCGTTTGCTGTACTGCTTCGGAAGTTGTTGATGATGCTGCTGCCGCACCTGCTGAGGAAAGAGTGGTGAGAGATCTCGGAACTGCTGTACAACGAACTCCATCGATTGAAGTGATTGAAAATCCTGCCGGCAGGTTTGCGTTTGTCGACATATTGAAAAAAGGGAGCGACTCCAGTCGCTAGAAAGAACGTAAACTCGACCGTCAAGGTGATCGCGCAATACAATGGGCTCCCAGGCCTCAAATCGTCGTCTCGAGCATTCTATCGACGATGATGTTTGCGAAAGAACGAAGCCAGCAGAGCGGACAGAAAGGAACACTCTGGAGAAAGGGCACAGAAACCATGATCTCCGTTCCTCAAACACGAACATTCTGGCGAGAGTCTGGAGTGGGCTCCTGGAAAGCCCCTGTCAAGCCAGCGACCGTTAAGAAAGACCGGGTCTCCAGCGGGAGGGGTAGAGATTCGAAGGAACAGTGGGGTATCCTCACGTTGCAGACCCCTGTTGTGAGACGGATCTTGAAGCATCATGGCTGTCAGGGGCTTACGCGAGACCCGTACTGCGCTCGGCCACCACACGCACGAACAGAAAAAGGATAGAAAATTGCGGGAAACAAGAAACAAGACAGCAGAGAGATGGGGAGGTCCTGGAAGGTCCTGGAAGGAACAGGTCAGCAACTTGGGTGAGCCTGCAGCTGCTTTCACGAAGTGAGCAAATACTTGCGACGAGCCTAAAGGATGGTGATAGGAGAAATTGAAACTGCACGCAGGAGTGATGACATTGTTTGTTTTGTATGATAGGAGACAACAAGAAAGAGCTTGCCCTGTGGGAATCCGCGTCGAAGACAGTGAAGTGTGTATCGTTAATTGGGCTCGAGTACCAGCCTCCGATCATTCCCGCCAGAAAGGTACATGCACTTACCGCAATCGTTTGGTGGCCGCCGATGTACCGATTCTGGTAGAGTTTACAGATTGTTTCTGTAACTCATATCCCCCGGATATTGGCATCGATGCATTGCAACATCCAGAAACCAAATATCTGCACTCAGGGTGCTCTCCACAATGATTATCCTGCGGATTCATATACCCATGAATACCAATGGACATGAGAGAGTTTGGTGTTCCTGCAAAGCCAAGAACACATAACGGCTTATTCTGCTATTCGGATGTGCCTTCGCCAGCTAGGCAGTTGTGAATCTACTGGATAATGTGCATTCGGCATCACTCTCTCCAAGGCCATCCAGAAGGGACAAGACTGGTCCGAAGACCACCGCCGGAATGCCTCTCCTCGGGCAACTGCACATCACCTGCATCAATATAAAGGCTTCCGCCTTCCGCGCCCTCGATCCAGGCATAGTATGATAATGTTATCATAATAGAACACAGAACTATATGCAAAAGCCTATATATGTGGAAGGGTATGCTACAGGAGTGAATGTTTCTAATCTCCTTTCCCTCTCTAGCCAATATACGAGCGTTACGTGCTGTTCAGCTGTTGTTTCGTACATTTCAATGAAGGGGTGGGTGTTATCCTAAGGTTTATAAGGTTAAAGTTATGCCTCCGGAGAGGTCAATGTGGAGCGTCCGTGGCCGCAAGGGAGAGGAAGGGGGGGGGATATAATTCCCCACCGCTGGCCTCATCGGGTTGGATCTCCTGTGTTCTGCCCTCAGTGCTCTCTGACGGGAGATGTATCGTCCGAGAGCACGGCCTCTCTTTACTCTTTGCTTGGAGACCCTGATATCAGCGCTATGCTGGGTGGTGACAGAATAATGCACAGGTCCACTGGTGACATTGTGCGGGCTGATCGACGGTCAAGTGGTGCTGCACCAAGTTGTTGTGCATGAAGCGAATCGAACTCCAAACCAGAACATCTTTATCCGGACCTCAATGCACTCTCCCACACAACCGCCATCACTATTCACCCACCACCACTGTCTCACAGATCCCGCACAAGACACATTCTGCAAGGCCTGCCCAATCTGTCATCTGAAGAGAGAAAAGGAATAAGATGCAATTATAGCTTTCTTGTCACCTGCTGTATCTCCATCCCGCCGTTTAAAGGGATATTAGAGATCACAATGTTCGCAAACCTCCCAATTCCAGGTAAGCAGCCAATGGAGCCCTGTCACCCAGGCTACTCAGTGCAATTTCTCTCCCATCAGCACTTGTCCTGGCGTGTTGTTGTCAATCCTGGGTGCATAGCTCCGAGCCATCTGAAGTTATGCCTTTGGTTCTGATGAGACGACTCAATTCTGAACTCATTGGGTTTTTGTGCACGTTCTATGTTTCAGAAAATCTTTCCTTTCCTGTCTTATTGGGTCTCGGCTTAAGCACCTTGCTCCATTCTATCTTCAAATTCTTGGTTCTCACGATTGCGCACAGTTCAGACTTCAACCGAAGGCCCGCCCAGGGAAATACCTCCTCAGACACCCGTCAGATTTCCCCAATGCGCGCCACAAGCGGTTGATAAAGTTGTGTCATCAATACAGCAAGGGCAGCCATTGGTGGCCTTATTACAAAATATTCACAGGCCAGCAGATATCAACCTGTCATATTTTGAAGCTCTCGGTCTTCACGTGATATCGAACGCTGCACCAGAGGATATTATCCCTGACAGCAGCTGTTTGCCACCTATAGAAGAATGGAACTCTATTGCTACAGACAATTTATTGGAAGCAAATGATGCAACAAAAAAGCCCCTGGGAAATGGTAACCTGTCACCAGGTGCTCAGACCTATCGAGAGCGGAAAAATGAGCTGTTGATTGACAACACTGCTGCATTTCGAACCATACGTCGTATTCCTCCACCGACTGGAGAGTCGGCGGTTCGATTAGGAAACGCATATGAGTTTTTCAAAAATCTAGAGTTCTTTTCCGGGTACTGGGACGACACGTCCTTGCCACCACCCTCGGACTCATCAGGAGCAACAGGATCTTCCGTGGAGAAGGAAGATATCTCTGCTGTTCCATTTCACCAACAGACGCATACACGTACGGGAACCGGATCACAGCTGCCTCCGGAGTACCGCCAGAACCTTCTTACCGCTTTCATCAAACTAGTTGCATACGACTTTGGTTGCAATGTCTCCCTTCCCCGTTGTGAACCCCGCCTTCACCTAACCCCTCCACCATCTATTCCTTTCCCACCTTCCTACTTCAACTCTTCTGCATTCTTCATCTACCGGACACCGACGGAACGCTCTGCTGCGCGTGCAGGCATTATTGAGGGTCCGGTTGCTGTTGTATCTTGCCGCGGCAGCACTGTCTTTGCAACAGAAGCAGAGTCCCAGCTTGACCTAGCCCGAGAGGTTGTTGCTGTTCTTCTTACTGCTCAGCAGCGTGCTCGAGAAGGCAGGACAGAGAACAAGTTTGGCGAAGGGAAATGGTGGGCCACCAAGCAGAGGTGGGGTGGGGGCCCGGGTGGACCCATCGGCAGAGAGGCAGATAAAATCGATGGATTAGCTGCGATTCCCGCCTCCGGCACCGGAACTGACGAGAAGATTACTCTCCCCGTAAGGGATGAGAGTGAGAGAGGAGTCGCCGCTGAGACGCGACGAATCTTTGGCATTAACGGGCCAAGTCCTAACAAGAGAACGAAGAGGGGGAAGACTGCTGATGGCAATATGGCAATTTACGAGAACTACAGGAAACTCCTTCCCCCCTCCTCCACATGGGATAGGAGAGCAAGATACTGCCCAATCGGGAAATTGAGTGCTGAAGCAGGTTTTGATGATGTTTTCATGGTCAGTGCTCTCAACCATCACGTTTCCATCGTACGGGTGAGAGTTCCGGAAAAGCTCTTGAATGTTCTATCCGGTGATGAGACAAATGAGGGTTGGGAGAAATTGCCTATGTGGAGGAGTAAATGGTATGATCTATTCATAGGAGTTGAGCGAGTAGAAGCGATGGAACTGGTATGGGGCATGGTCTCGTATCTTATGAGGAGTAATGACATCCAGGACGAGATTGATCCCACCAGGAAGGATGCTACTAGAAATGACGGAAATGCGCAGGACGAGAAGACGGATATAAATTAGATAGATGGTTGTGACCTACGTCTTTAGACTGAAAAAACCCTCGCAATGGTGGAGTGCTACGAAGCTATGGGTAGACACAATTATAATGCTAAAAGATAGTATTTTGCCGAAATTGACATTCTCTATTGCAACACATAGAACGGGTATCAGACAGACAATAATTGGGACGAACGGTTTAGTCTCAAGGCCAAAACCAGTAAATAACTCAATTATGAGATGACAAGCGCAATCAAGGCACCATATAGACAATTTAGCATCGCATATACTATAATCAGGACGATAGGTAACATAACTATCAAACTGGTATTCTCGCTGTTAACAAAGAACACGACTTGGCTGCTTTTCGTGATGATGCAGGGAATTATGGGCAGACCTTCGCTTAACCCACTTCAGCCACTGCTCCACTGCCGGTCGACCAATCAGCGCAGTACATCTAGTCCAACCACTCGGCGAAAACTTGTGTCAAATATAGTGTCAAATAAGCGTGTCCAGACATCAAAAACAGTCACGATGCCAGAGTGGTTAATGGGATAGACTTGAATCGAGTCAATCGACTCATACATTCAGTTATCTATTGGTTTCGGCCGCGTAGGTTCAAATCCTGCTCGTGACGATTATCTTTTTTTTTTTTATAAATATTTTTCCCCCCTTGCCTTACCAATGTATTTTCTCAGTAGGTAATAACGGAAATAAACTCTGATCAAAAATTATCAAGAATTTAGCAGGTTCCCTTCCTGCCTTAGGTTTTACTACATATTTCCTTGGCTTTAAAAACACAAGACCTCTTCACCAAGTTAATTTTTGCGTGTCTATTGTGGGTTTATCGAGAACGATATCATCGGAGGGATCAGAACTCCGATTACCGAGAACACATTTTCATGGACTTCACTCTGCACACGAAGACTCTACTCCCCTTCAAACAAATAAATATATCAGATCAAGACTCCCACACTTGATCTTCGCTTGTGTGATGTCTAGGCACTACACGAACAATAAATAGCTTGTTAAAGTCACTGTAACCGTCTTGCTCCACAGGTTTCCATTGTAAACTTTATTATCTGTGGCCTGTATATAATCTTTTTCGGAATTGTCTTTTTTCTTAGCCTGATGGTCAGACGAAGGTGAAGCTCAGCATGCCACAATGAAATGAAGTATTTAAGATTCTAGATATCTAGGGTGTTTTTAACATTCAGAAGACTTTTCCACCTTGGATGAAAGAGGCCGATGATGCTTCAAGAGGGGAAGATATTTTAGGGCTATGATCAGCAGTCTGGAAAGGTTTCAAAATTCCATCGAACGAAGGATACTTGGGGTGCCACAGCGGGAGAGACATCTAGTACTCTAACACCTTATCTTTTTTCAAGGACCGGGAAATTTCTAAGGTTGCTCTGGAGAAACACACTTATTGGATGCTTATAACGAGAAAGATACCCAACAGTTAATTATATCTTTGAACTTCTCGAGTTATTCTTCTAGTGTTTGGGTAAGGTTTTCAAAATATCAAAGTAATACACCAACCGAAACCTTATTTTCGAGGAGTAGAGGTAGTTAAACAGGAGGGGCCACGGTAGAAGGAGCCGCAGCTAGATGGGAAACTGAGCCATTAGCAACAGCGGAAACAACAAAGGCACAAAGATAAGGGGATACCACTGTGACAAAAAGATTTTAGCAGTAGTAGAATCCTGCCTAGTGCTCTGAGAAATAGCTGTGGCACACACTTCTGGTGGCTACTCCACCGCTTGACATTGCTAGGTACTTCTTAATTACTGCTTTAAACCTTGACAAGGAGTTTTCGTGACGGTGAGTGTACATCTTCAACTCCCCTTAGTGCCGATTGAATAGAGTTATTTAGACAGGGGGGTTGTGAGCACTATTCAACATTTTCGCTGAGGAGACACTTCACTAATCATTCAAGATATTGAGCTAGATCAGAACCAGAGCTACAAGGTTGCATATGGTTGCCGTTTTGTGGTGACTGTTGAACCCCGGGTAGCCGCTATCCTTTTATTCCTTTCCATATTTGACAGTTCCCCATGATATTTTGACAATGCAAGGAGCTCCATAACTCATGTTCCAACGCCTCCGTCAACATTCTAGGTTCTCAAAAACCGAGTCCCTACAAAGGCAGTAACCACTGGAGATGGCGCACCTTTGTCTTATGACAAATTTCAATTACAGTTGTGTCGAATAAGTCATGACTCCAAGCGCCGCCTGAGCCAGTCTAGTGCCCACAACCACCATCCCGTAATATAAATAGCCAAATACAAAACATATAGTTTCTCAATCAATTAACATATTTTCCAACCATACTCGCCTGTCTAATTGGCAAGCAACCCAGCCTTATATATGTTCTCCCTGATTCAACAAGTTGCTTCTTTTTGAGTAGTGTGGCAGCTTCCTAACTACTGGGTGCCATGCAGCTCTCACTGTAGGGGCAAAGGCGGCTAGACAATCAGTCTAAGGGGGGATTCTAAATAAATACCCAAGGAGCCTTACCTACTAAAGTTGACGCATCTATTTGTTGCCAATTCACAGCCTATCGGAAGCACATGAGTAATATGGGAGCATCTACCAACATGCACTTCATAACACACACCATTCCAGGAATATTATTCTTGAAAACTTCCGCCCAAGACCAGAACCTACCAACATCAATTCTTCCAGGAGATAGGATAGTACCGTAACCAAAATACACATGTGTCCCTTCTCACGCAACCACACCAAGGCCTTGTTCATATGACCTACCAGTTGTATGGAGGAATGCTATGTTCAATTCGCTTCATCCAAAACTAATATTCCCGCCACCGTTTCCTATATCAAGCTTTCTGCCATTTGGCCCTCCACAAAATCCGGCAGACTATTGGCATGAGTAAATTTAATACAAGAGAAATCCACCCCTCATTATGACGCATGTTAGGGAGGGTTTATCAGAACGTAAATGACTATAGCGCCTAAGGAAATAATTTCATCGGTGATGCTAGTGAAATTCAATCTGCAGCGAGTGATAGGGGAGGACTAAGTAGGAATGGTTTTTGAATAACAGGATCACCTACGACCGTAACATTTCTCCTAGGATTTACTTATCTTATACCCCCACAATTTAGTCTTATATAGATACTTTCGCCGTCAGCTTTCTAATCAACCGACCAACAGTAAAGGTTTCGTCAACATTTAGAAACTGGGTACCTCTTTATATATAAAGATACAGCGTTGGATGCTACCTGTTGAACCAGGGAGAATATATGAGACTGAGTTACTTACCAATTGCACAGAGGAGTATAATTTAAAAAAAGAATTAATTAATTCTTCAGAAGCTATATATATGTTTTGCTATTTATATTATAGAATTGTAGTTGTGGGCGCTAGACTGGCTAAGGGGACACTTGGAGTCATCCTTACTCGGAACCACCGCTAGTTTCTACATTGGTGTGATCCTATAAGGACATATCAAACCTCCAGGCCCTCTCTTCTAGTACCTGGTAGTAAATACTTCACAATGGCACCACCAAACCCACCACCAGTACAATGTGAAGTGGTGGATGTTAAGAATGTGAAAGGATTCTTTTACAATAAGTATCGTTTGTGACGAATCTTCCAATGCTGGCGCTCTAAGTGTCATATTCTAAACTAATCCTTTGGTGAAGTAGGAGTTACTGAGGTCTCAAATATTCTCTTAGCTGTGCTAACGTTCTGCCTGAATACATCCCGATCTAGGTAAATATAGTTAGCATCACGTCAGGTAAATCAGGCTTCTGAAATGGCCAGTTTGTTGTTAGTGCGCTGCGGGAGGTATCGCGGGGACAAAATATTAAGGTGCTGTTTCGTGCAATGCTGTATTTCTGCTCAAACGTAGGATCATATACCGATAGGATGTTTTCATCCGTATGTAGCAATCGGAAACCCTCTGTTGGTCATAAGGAAGGGGACAGCGAGACACCTGCTATATGGGACACCAAACAGTAATTTCTTCGTTCTCACGTTCTCAAATTGCGGTACAGAGGATCGAAATTATTGTATAGCATGGTATCAGCGAATTCTCTTTAGACTTGGTACAATAAATGTAAAATAGATACCAAATAATAAATGGAGGTTTATATTCCATACCAATGGAATAGCTCTGCCGTCTGAGGAAGACGTGAAGTGTATTTGCGAGGGGATGGAGATGAGACAGACAGAGTGGCATCCACTTTTTGAGTGACCTACACTTAGAAAGGCAACGGAAAACATCTTTCCCAATTAGGATTCTTGAATACGGGCTTAATAGCTTGTCGATAGCATCATGATAATTTCGAGAATCCGAGAAAATATGTATGATTTTGTTACAATTCCTATACCAACTCGCCAAGCATCAGTTGCCTACGAACATGGATGCTAACATGAACTTTATTGATTGAGATGCTTTCCTCCTACATTGGTGAGCTCTAGAAACAGGACAATTAATCATTAATCGCGAAAGTGAACGTCAACTAACAGTGCGAGTTGGGTAGCAAGGATCTCTGGTGCATCTCGAACTGACTGAATAGAGGCTCCCGGGAAAAGTTCTGTCTACAGCAAATACAAGCAGATGAAAGAAATGTGTACGAATGAGTACATGATAACCCTCTATGTTGTCTTCAGCGTAAACCTTCCGCCCATATATGAGTTACATGTTCTGGAATTTTCTCACACTCATAGTGACATGGAACGTTTCTGGGTTGAAAAGAACATCTTTTATTGTTGTGAGCGGTTAGAGGCGCTTGGTCAGCACACGACACCTTACTTGAAATGAAGAACCAGAGATCCTCATAGTGAGGTAGTCCACCACCTCTATTTTGGTATGTGCGGCTAGAAGATTCTGAGAAGGAATGATCCACAATGGGCTCACTTGCTAACTGTCAAAAGAGCTTCATTGTAATTGGCTCATCAAGGGTTTTATCAACTTTAGCGTGGGAGGAGATGACAGCAGTGTTCTGAGTCGAAGTTTGACTAGATTCAGCCTACGAGGTAGACCTAGGCAACTAAAGCAGTTCTAATACTAACACGTACCCTATATGCTCCATTGAAATCAAGAGTTTGGACAAATATAATATACTATATTATATAGATTTCAGTTCACCAGATCGCCACATTGACCGCAAAGAAAAAGGTTGAACTATAACCCGATAGCATTTCAACATATGGTAAAAACTAATAGAGCCAAAGGCACCATGCCTAAATTCATATTGGGAGGAAGCCAACTGGATAGGAGCTCGACCCTAGCTTGATTTTGGCTAGGAGGCAGTTGTTGCTTTTCGCATTAGTGATCCCCAAGTTTTAGGCTTCGAAGGGCTGGCCGCTGATTCCAAGAGGGCCATGTCGTCACCTTGTAATGTATCAGTCGTCGATGATGTTCGGTTCCACTACTGTTTCTCGTACTTGCCCTGTCCAGCCCAATATATATAGCAGCGCTGATTTGTCCCTCTTCGGTTATTCGATATCTTAGTATGCGCAGTTTCTTTTAGCTTTGAAGCCTCAGGGGCTTAGCCTTGGTCTTTCTGCTAAACCGTTAGCAGGGTGTTAGAAGCTCGGAAACTCTGTCATATTTAACGCAATATTTTCTTGCTGGGCATTAAATAGGTATGCAAGACTATGGCA